TTTTTGTGTAGTTTTATTTTGGTCCATTTTTTTCTTTCTCTTTTTTTTCTTTCCCGTTTTCGAAGTCTTTGTCCTACCTACCATCATCGCTCTCTGCTGTATGTACAGTCGTTCTGTCTGTTCGGGATTGATTATTGCTTGGTGGTTGGCAGAGCTGGGCACTATGGCGTGGTTTGCTCCTTCTGCTTCTCTACATGGGTGGTTGGTGGGGTCTCTGGTGTGGTTTGCTCCTTCTTACCCCTTCTTATCCAGACGTCTACCGTCCTCCTCTCTCCTTATTATCTTGGTATGTTACTCTCTAGTCTTTGATCTTCGGCACTTATGTAAGACAAATTTCCGGGTGGTTGGCGGGTGGTTGTTTGCTTCTTTTTTCCTGTCAAACATCTAACGTCCTGTTCCCCCCCCACCCCGTTTGTGTTTGTTACTCTCTTTTAACGCCTCAAATCTTCGGCACCCATTTGACCTATTTGTGTTAGAAGTGTCGCAAGACTCTTACTGAAACTTAAGCAGTCTGACCTATTTGTGTTACAAGTGCCGTAAAACTCGTAATAAAACTTACACAAAAAACAAAAAAAAAACACGGTGCGTGAGCGTGTGGTTGGTGAGCGCTACGCTTGCTCAGGTTTTGTGTATACCTTGGTCTGCGTCCTCTTTTCATGTCTTCCCGGTTTGTTCGTTGCGAAAGTTTAGCTGTCACCTCGCGCTTTTTCGCCATGAGCTGCCACTCGCCAGGGCTTTTTTCTCTATCCTGTCATTTTAATGACCCTTTGCGTAAAATGGCATTGTCTGTCATAAATGTTCTTTTTTTCCCTCCGGTTAAAAAAAAAAGAAAGACAAAAGTGTCCGTTTACCAGTATCTGGACGTCTTTGTGGCTTTTGTTGAGCATCTTTGTTTGTTCTTTCGCATATTTCTGTTAGAATGAGTCAACAGTCGCTCAAGTTTGGTTTTGTGGGTGGTTGGCAGGTGCTCTGGTGTGGTTTGCTCCTTCTTTCCTTTCAGACATCTATCCTTCTTTTTTTTGGGTGTATTTTACTCTCTTGTAACACATATATTCTTTGGCTCTTATATATGACCTTATTGTGCCGTTAAACCTTTACTAAAAACTAAACAAGTTTGGTTTTATTTTTAAAAATCACATTACCTTTCAAATTCTTTTCATGGTTCCCATTGTTTTAACTTGCTTTTTCGTGCTTACCTATCTCATGGGTGCTTTCAGATTTCACACACCACACACGCACACACACACACACACACACACACACACACACACAG